ATGCACAGAATTCCTTTCCCCAAGAAAAGTGAAAAGGAAACACATCAGCCCCTCCAACTCGTACACAGTGACCTCTGTGGCCCAATGAATGTTGATTCTGTTGGTGGAAGCAAATATGTCCTTACATTTACTGACGACTACACCAGATATGTCACAGCGTATTTCATCAAGAGCAAGTCTGAAGTGTTATCAAAATTTGTGGAATATGTGGCAACGATGGGAAATAAAACTGATTTGCGAGTACGAGCCGTTAGAACCGATAATGGTGGAGAGTATACATCCCAGAACTTTAATAGGTTTTGTGCCGACAAGGGGATTGCACATTAGCTCACCGACCCGTACACACCAGAGCATTTAACAGCGTTTCAGAGAGGCTGAATCGCGCACTAATTGAATCTGCAAGATCCATGCTCATTCATGCAAAGATGCCATTGAAGTCTTGGGCAGAAACTGTAAACACGGCTGTATATCTACACAACCAGAGTCCCACAAATGCACTAAAGGACAAAACGCCATTTGAATGTTGGTTTAGGAAGAAACCAACTGTGTCAAATTTGAAAGTTTTTGGAAGTGTCTGTTTCGTCCACACCCCAGATCCCTTACGAGAGAAGCTTGATCCGGCCCAAGAGCCGCAAAGCAGTATTTGTCGGATATCCATCGGAGAGTAAAGGCTACAAAGTGTATGAAGTGGATGCTAAACGTTTCACAAGATGCAGAGACGTCATTCTTCATGAGAACAAGTTTCACACATTTGACGAAGTTACCAACAGCACATTTACGATGAATATATGAAGTTCATATAATTTGAACTGCGGTTATAGATAGGATAGGATCGTGCATCATACGCAACAGCACATTCTTCTACAAAAGCAATGTAGAACCCGATGACGTTGGAGATGAGCCACAAGTCTCCACTGTTCCTACCATTCCAATCACTACCCTACCACAGAGTCTCCATAGAATTTACCTTCAGTGGGAGCAACCTATGAAGATACTTTTATGCAACAAGTGAGAAGCCTTGGTCCAACCAGACAGAGAAAAGCACCAGACAGATTTCATCCAGAAGAATATTCCATGTCAGAATCTTTAACTGCCGAGAATGAAGAACCACAGTCTTTGAAAGAAGCCTTGGGGAGCAACAACTCCAAGGAGTGGAAAGAAGCCTTAGAAGCTGAATACAGCTCATTGATCAGTAATGAGACATGGGAATTAGTATCACCACCAAAGGATGCTAGCATAGTTTGATCAAAATGAGTTCTAAAGGTAAAACGAGAAGCTGATGGTAACATCAACCGATACAAGGCAAGACTCGTTGGACAGGGAAATTCACTGAGAGACACAAGGAGTCGATTATGAAGAAGTTTTCTCTCCTGTCGCCAGATACTCAAGTATCAGAACATTGCTAGCTTTGGCGAATGCATATGACTTATGACATATGAGCGCTGAACTGTTGTGCGGGAGGTCGAGGGTTCGAGCCCCGGCCGGATCAACACTCAAGGTCTTAAGAAAAGTGAGGAGAATATGCTACCTTTCTATAACGTCAAGAAATGGTTAGATATTCTAGTCTTCTTGGATAGGGACGAATAAATGGAGGTCCTGTCTCCTGCAGGGTTAGGGGTAGGAGACGTTAATTTCCTACGCACGGGTATACTGTGTGATGGAAGTCCTCCCATGGGTGGGATGGGTGGGTGCAGATAGAGGACCACTCTAATTAACTTAGTGCTACCGGTGATATCCTCTGTAAATATTGTTTATTGTTGTTATTATTGCTTTTAAGTTCATCAAATGGATGTCAAGACAGCTTTCCTGACTGGAACAGTTCACCATGACATTTACATGTCTCAGCCTGAAGGGTTTGTTGATCCATATCCTCCTGACTATGTGTGCAAGCAAAGAAGAACCTGTATGGCCTCAAGCAGTCAGCTAGACGTTGGAATCAAACACTCAACAATTTCTTGGTAACGAATGGCTATCGGAGAAGCTCCGCAGATGAATGCATTTATGGGAAAACGGTCCAGAGAGATGACGGATTTATCAGTTTTGTCATCTTAGCAGTCTATGTCGATGACATAATTCCTGCATCCACCGATGTTAAAATGCTCAAAGCAGAGGAAGAATCCTTATGAAGAGAATTTTAAATGGTTGATCTGGAAGAAATTCACTTCATCCTCGGAATGTCAATCAAGAGAGACCGAGCTGCTAGAACACTGACCATCAGTCAAGAGCAGTACCTTAAGGATTTGCTCAAGCGATTTGGAACGGAAGAGTGCAAGCCTATGTCAACTCCGCTGGAATCAGGAAAGAAGTTCCTCAAGAGAACCGATGAAGGAGAACGGTGTGACAAGAGCGTCTATCAACAAGCCATAGGGTGCCTCACCTATGTATCAACTGCTACGAGACAAGACATTGCTGCGGCTGTTGTGACTTTATTACAATTTATGTCTGATCCAAATATAAGGAGCATTGGATGGGAGTCAAACGAGTGCTCAGATATCTTAAAGGAACACTAAGTTATGGTCTAAAATTTTCAGTGAATAATGATGACTTTGGTTTGTGTGGATTCTCTGATGCTGATTGGGCAAGGGATGGAGATAATTGACGTTCTACTTCCGGGTACGTTTTCAAAGTTGCTGATTCCACAGTCAGTTGGTGCAGCAAGAAACAGGCTACGGTCGCCAAATCCACTGCAGAAGCAGAATATGTTACCCTAAGTCAAGCAACACAGGAAGCTATTGGCTGGTCTAGGTTGTAAAGCTGATTCACCCACAGTGTTAAAAGAAGACAGTCAAGGTGCCATAGAGCTATCACGGAGCCCAAGATTTCATAACAGAACAAAGCACATTGATGTCGCATTTCACTTTATTCGTGAGCGAATAGCCTCAAATGAAGTTAAAGTTGTTTATTATCCTTCAAATGATATGTTGGCAGACGTCATGACAAAGGGACTTGATAGAGATCGCTTTTAAAAAACTCAGAAAAACTTGTTGAACGTTTATGCTTGTTAGGATGTTGATTGTTAATTTTTTGCTATCTATCTCAGAGGACACACATGACATGCCTATCAAGTGGGAGTGTTGGAGAAATAATAATCATGTAATGTGATTCGTGGGATAAGATATGTGACACTCTCTAGGGAATTACACGTGCTCTCCTATTGCATCATCTAACTCTTAACCTCGCAGTTTCGTTGTTCCTTTTTTTAGTTGCTGTTGTAACCTTCTTTCGGATCGGAAATAAAGAGGAGTTTCTTGAAATGTATGTTACGCTGGGTATGAATTTCTCTTGAGCCACCCCTCTATTTCTATGCTAGAGATGTAGTATCCTAGAGCCACTTTCGTTTTTCCATTGCATGCGTTGGTTCAGGCAGTCGCAAATTAATATTTATCTCTTGTTTATAAACTTCAAAGTTAAGGAAAACATGATTTAATTCTTTAAGTAGCTGGAACTGCTGGGGTTAACGAGTGATCGTGTTGTCTGGTCGTCCGAGTGAGGATAGTCCTGAGAAAGACAGTTGTCCGAAGCGGAAGTCATCATCAGAGTCAAGTGTGGCCTTCTCACCCGACTACAAAATCGCACTCATTTTTCCACTGCCTGTGTTGTCTCAGGCTACACATAATTTTTTCTCTGCTGGAATCCCACACGTATAAAAAAATCAGAATTCGAAGGACTCGAGGAACAAGCTTGAAATCAATTAGAGAAATAGTGATTTTATTATACTTCGAGCAAAACCTCCTAACGAGAACAGCTAAGAATTGAACCCTTGAAAATTGAAAATAGGGAGTTTGACCGTGCCCAGCTGAGTTAGACTACGTACAATAAGTGAAAAAATATTTCATGTTACAGGAAATTTAGCGATTTTTCCATGGTTGTTTAAAAATAATTGTTCGTTGTTCTCAGTATTCTGGCCGTTCTCAATTCATGCGAGTTTTTTCATTGTTGTTTTAAAAATATAGAAAAGCTACAGTAGTTTTTGAATCAACTTAACTTGTGCAGAATGACTAGAACAGTTTGACCAGAAATCAAACAAATAAGCTCGTCAAATGAAAGATTTGACATTTACAAACTGAAATGTACAGAAACATCGTTACATTTGTAACAATTACAGGATAACTTACCATTCTATTGCTATATATTACTGCTATTTATTCCTCGGGAGACTTAAGAGCTCTTCCAAAATTTTTACGAAGACAGCTTCCATGAATCACCAGTTGATGACACCCAATAGTAAAGTAAGCTGAAATGAGATAGGGGAAGCCTGAGATTGCGAAATTTGTAGGCACGCAAGACCCGGACGATCTGTAACAGTTTACAGTGCCAATTTACTCTAGATTAAATAACGATGTTTGAACTTCGAATTTTGCCGTGATCTCAATAAAACTTTTTTAAACACTCAGTGTCTTCTTTTTCTTCACTGAACGAGATTACTATTCCTCCTTTGTCCCTTCCTTTGGGGTGATATTTTTTCCTGGTTCTAGGCTCTCTTGCATTTTTGACGGCTTCTGATGTCACGGATAATTAGGTTTCATTTTGCCGTGGTATCACTGGAAATCCGGTAGGCTGATGGCCGAGTTTAAGTCTGTACTCGAGCCTAGTGCTCCACCAATGTGCAAGAGACATAGAGGAGAAATCTTTTATCGCAGCTTTAGATCAGTTTGAACAAAGGAGGCTTTTTATTTAATAGAATTTAATGGCATAGTGTAAACAAAAAACAAATTACAAAATAAAATGATTACAAAATAATAATATGGGGAAGCCATGAAGATAATCTGTAAAAGAGTAATAAAACTCTGCCATACTCGATAGATCACCTAATGTAATTACAATCTAAATATTAAAAACACGCGTATCAATAAAACTCCTGAAAATGCAGATCACCTAATGTAATTACAATCTTAATATGAAAAACACGCATATCAATAAAATACATTAAAATGCAGATCACCTAATGTACTTACAATCTAAATATTAAAAACACGCATATCAATACAATACATTAAAATGAACAGTCAGTTCCCAAGGGGAAGCAGTGAGGATAATCTGTAAACGAGTAACAACCCTCCAAACACAATGGATCACCTAATGTAATTACTCAGGCTTTCCGAAGGAAACGCCCGAGGTATAAATTCGGCTTGGTTTGTTGGTTGTTTTGTTTTTTTCTTTTTGCGTTCCGTCACAAAACGCAGTTCCACCATAGCGCATGCGTGAAGTGTACGCGCATTCGTAGAATGAACCCTAGCGCGCATAGTTTAAAGCAATGGCTGCCTTCCTTGCTTGATGCACGCGAAAGAAATTCGATGGCTATTACGCTCAATATACATACCAAGTCACACACCGTTCGCAGTAGACCCACATTAAAACTTGTGGAGCGTTTTGGGAACGGGTCGGTCCGCGAACTCTACGAGAGATCAATTTACGAGCGATCATTTACGAGTGAAACTTCTATCGAGAATTAGTATAATTTCAGAGCTGAGCAAAGAGTTTCCAGCAATCTGATTGGTTGAGCGGTTCCTTATTTTTAACAATTATTCACCGAAGGCGAGGTGAATATCGTCGAATAATCCCCTCGACTTCGTCTCGGGGATTAGTCGACTTCGTCTCGGGGATTAGTCGACAATATTCACCGAACCTGAGGCGAATAATTGTTTTAGTATAATTTCAGAGCTCAACAACAGAGAAATTTCTAAAATCATAACATTTTAGTAACATTTATCAACATTTTATTTAAACATTTTATATAAACCGCGTGGAGCGGTTTATATAGCGTCATCTAAGGAACCGCTCGACCAATCAGATTGCTGGAAACTCTTTGCTCAGCTCTCAAATTATACTAAAACGCTTTATAAACCGCTCCACGCGGTTTATATAAAATGTTAAAATAAAATGTTAATAAATGTNGTATAGACGTCATTCTGTTCGGTCTGTACTGGCGACCTCGGTCAAGATTCTCCCATACAGACCTCCCGCTCGGTTAATAAGATCTAAATAATCTCCTCGACTTCGTCTCGGGGATTATTCGACGATATTCACCTCGCATTCGGCGAATAATTGTTAAATATCAAGCGAAACGAGCTATCTTACATTATGTTTACATGTAAACACAATTGTGTATTTAAACGTGATCGAGAACCCAGTAGAATACCAGAAGCTACTCTTAAAACTTCTCAGAAGAAAGGGCAGAAAACTGAAAGAATTTGTTCATGGGCGTATTCGTCCTAGGATACCGAAGTCCTCTTGGTTACGTCGTTTAGTGAAGGTTAGGAGAGTTACAAAGAATGTTTGTGAGCTTAATTTTACGAAGAGGGTAAGATTAAATAACGTTACACAACATGAGAAGAACTATTGCTGAATTGTTCTGAGGGTATAAGTCGGTATTTATCAATGTTTTTATGTAATGGAACCATGTGTCTTTATAAGAGTCAGACACACGTATCAAACTATTGTAAATTTTAACTGAGTTCAGATATAGTTGCAGTGGTTACAGAGATTTTTCTATTAAAAACAATATGAACTATTGAATAGTAATATTGCTTCAATCTACTGATTTCTGACAACTCCCCTTGGGTGAACATTCGGCAACAAACTACGAGTCTGTTCCAATAATAGATAAAAAATTCCCTTCTCCTTGCAGTTAAAGGCAAATACATTACCTACTCAGGGTTGGTAAAAGCCTTGAAAGTCCTTGGAGATGCTTGAACTTAAAAATAAAAATTCAAGGCCTTGAGAATACTCGAGTTTGAGGACTAAGGCTTGATTTTTGCAATGCTTTTTCTTTAGCAATTTTCAAGTTGAAAATTACAGTACTTTCATGGAAAAGCTGATAAATAATATCAAACAATTTTAAAATTGCTTATGCAAACCTTTCCAAAAGTGGTCCTTCAATTTTCTACAACTTGGCTTCAGTCATTGAAAAGTCCTTAAATTTCAACCTTTGGCACCTGTAGGAATCTACCCCTATATGGTAATATATTATTTTGATTGTTGTCTAACAGTCATTAGGGAGTTTAAGCAAATCACTACGGCTGGCGCTGCTACGGCTACCGGAAGTAAAATTGTCCAGAAACGAGTCATTGCGCATGTCAGCGGTTCCCATCCAGCCGTAGCGGGAAATCCTTCTACGCGAGTGGGAAGGTTTCGGCGTAGTCTGTGGTACGTGAACTTATCTCGCTTCTTTCTTCGCTTTATACATTCTCCTGAGCAATTTTAACTATTGAAATACACTTAACATCTTTAAAAATAGCTTATCGGGAATATTTATCAAGCTTGCTGTCCCTTACCGAGTGAATCTGCCTTTATTTTTGC